TTACTAGCGTAATTTCACTATTTTTCAGAGTATTCAGATCGTAGCCATAAAGATATAAATTCAGAAAAAAATTGATAATAAAGCATTGCTTAATACCAGATGAGGCTGTTATTAAAAATATATATATTTAATTACCATGAAAAATTATTAGTTTCTACTAAAATAAATCTGATAATTGGCCCTAGCCCTTTTATAATAATCTGAAAAAACTTATCACTACATTTGCAGTTTATAAAGTTTCGTGATTTTCATAGGTTATATAAATTATTCAAATTGCTGTTGGAAAAAATCTTTCAAAATAACTATAATATCTAAAGTTTATTTTGATTGATGACACATTAAATTGTAATTTTGTGGTATTTTTAAAAATAACTATAATAAGATTTAATTTATGTAATAAACAATACACAATTTATTCTGAGTACATATATATATATATATATATATATATATTTGCTTGCACAATAATGATTCATATAAGTTATAGATAGATAATTAGTGTATATAATTTGCTAATCATAACTCATATTTTATTAGAACTACGGGATATTATGCTATGGTATTTTATTTATTCTTACGGAAATATATTAGGTATTACTATTGTTATTTTATTATTTTGTTTGAAAGTTCTTTAGTTGATCTGTAGCAGATTGCTGGATTCTCTACTTTACTGCATTCCTAACCTTTGCGGTATTTTCGAATTATTTACTTATTAAATGCAATAAAAATTATTCTCAAAACGTTGGAAAATTTAGATTTTTATTTATAATGAATGAAATTATGCAGAACATTTTGTAGTAAGATATGCATGTATATTTAATTAATATTGAAACTATTATAATTCCGTTTATAGGTCTAATCGTTTTGTTCGAAATAATGTTTTTGTTCGGAAATTAAAGTAAATAAATATGTTTGAGTTCTTTTACAAGTATTTCGTATACAAATATAGATCATCCAAATTAAATTTAACACTGTCTCCTACTTGGTGAATTTTCTTAAGTATTTACTGCGAGAAAATTATATTTTATTTAAAGAAATTCAACATAACATTTTTTTATTTAAAAAAGAAAATGTACAATCTACACAACAAATTTAGTATAATAAGTAAGTTAGATAAGCAAAGAATATAAAATTAATAGTGAATAATATGAATTGGGAAATTAGCATCCTGCACGAATATTTATTATTAAGAAATACTAAAGCAGAAGGTTCTTAAACCATTTTTTTTTTTTCAGTCTTTGTCTAGGGTTATCGGGTATTATGTTAAAAACTATTAAAATATTAATATTTTAATTATAAATGTAAATATTAATGATTAAAAAAACTTAAAAATTATTTATTAACTATGGTAAACATTTTTATTAAAATTATTAAAGGTATAAGAAATTATTTTAATGTTAGATATTCAAATGATTTATTGTTATTTACTATTTTTATGAATTAATCTATTGATAAATTATAAACGACGGTAGAAAATGTATAGTATTTTCTACTATAATATTTTCTTAAGGTACCGCTTCAATCATTTTGAATTTATTGAATCTCTATCTCTTATTATATACGCATATAATAAAAGTATCCTTTATAAGATTGTTTATGTATTATTAACATGGGTGGAGGTTTAAGATGACTGCGTAAAATAGATAAGTCCAACAATAAGAGAGTGTGGAAAACTTAGATAAGTAAAGTAATGCCAGTTTGACAAAAGAGGATTATTTTGAAATGAAATCGTATATTAGCAGAATGAACAATATTCTAGAGACTATTAGAATAGTATAGTTGAACAAACCCTAAAAGAATAATTACATAGCTAATACATTTTTGTAATTGTATTGTTTGTTAATTTTGGTACAAATTGTAGACTAATTTTCATTATTTACCATGAGTCAATGGAAAAATTAAACGTGAAGCGTATAATTAGTGTTACAACAAGAAACGTGAACAATTAGTAATCAGTTATTAGATATAGTATATTCTTCTTAGTTAATGAGAATCTATCAGTTTGATATTTTATAGATAAAATAAGTTGGAAAATATTAGTTAATGAAATAATATTACATTTTGAGATCTAATATAGTGTATAATTGACAAACGTGATCTTCTTTGATCGGGAAAATTAATTTGGTCATAGGATATATTGTTTCCTAAATGAAAAATCAAATCCGTAGTGTATTATTATTATTATTATTATTATTTAAACAGAAATATCTTCATAAAATTATGGATGTTTAAGTCAGATTTAGGATACGAAATCTTGCGACTTTGAATGGTAAGGATACTAAAATATTGGCGAACGCGAGAAACGTTCAGGATTTTTGAATGCCAAATAATATGGTGGTTATTTGTGTAAATAATAATACGAGACAAATAAATAAACAAATATTGTATGTGCATAGTAAAATGTTAAGGATGATACGCAAAATATATTCATAGTCTTCGGAGAAACTAGATAAACTATAGATCACAAAAATAAAAACTAAAAATTACATATTTAATAACAGGGACGGACTGGATACCGAAGGGCCTGGGGGTTAATTAAATGGACCTATTATTATCATATTTCAACTAACCGATATTTTTAGTTTATAATGCTCAATTCATATATTCTTATAGTAAATGAATGGTGTTTTACTATTATATTTTAATATTAAATTTTTTATACTAGTATATACCATTTTTATTAATATGACACTACGAGGGCCCGGGAGGTGATTGCCCCTTTGCCTTCTTGACCGAACTTGACAGGAGCGGACCCTATCTAAAGTGACATACATGAGATAAATCAATTTGTTGTCCAAGCAAAATATGTGAATATATTATTATGTTAATATTTTATTTATAATTTTTTTTGTAAATATTTTCAAACATGTTGAAATTATAGAAAATGTTGTTTAAGTAGGATAACTATCAATAATCAGTTATAATTTAATTTGAAATAATAATATAAAATAAATCGAACTTTTTTACTAGACATCTTGTATAACATACACAAAGTTTCAAAACTTTTGACAAAAACTAAAGTACCTAAACGTAGTTATATTCAGAATAATTATTTTTTAAATTGTAATATCTGTTACAATACCAAGTTTAAATTAATAAAATATTATTCTAACTTATTTAGGACTAATAAATCGAGTTTATTGCTCAACATCGTAAGGCTCTGTAAGTATCTAAATCAGGGGTCTTCAACCCTACTTTTTATGCAGCGGGCCACTTATTATTTTTTAATAACCTTGCGGGCCAAATTCGTAGAAAAGTCGTACAAAAATATGTATTTTATACAAAAATTCAGTTTTATTATTACAATTTATATGATAACATTTTAAATTACAAATTTTTATTATTATTAAAACATATGCAGTGATTACAAATTATTATTATTATTAAAACATATATAGGTAAACATTTTTTTTAATTACAAATTTTTATTTTATTTTTAGTGTGATAACTGACATCGTTTTTCACTAACTAATTTGTCTATATTTGACTGGATCTGAGACAATGAAATTTTGAGTGAATTTTCCAACTAAATGCAGTTAATCGAGCTCTAGTTTTCGATTTGACAATTTTCATTCGTGAAAAAATATCTTCACAAGTGTAAGTACTGCCAAAAAGAGACTTCTTAATGAGTTGTTTCGAAGATTAAGATATGTCTCTGGGTCAATATATTTCGAATAAAAAATTGAAAATTGAACAATATTGTACTTTTCTTTTAATATTTTATTGTTTTGTAAATCAATGATCTCCATTTGCATATTATCTGGGATATCTTTAACTGATAATGAAAATGGAATTGAAAACAAATTAAAAAAATTTTCATTAACTTTGAAATCTAAGAACATCGAATTAAATTGGAGTTTTAAAGCAGAAATTGCTTTTGCGTATTTTTTCGTTGAAGTAACATTGTATTTTGACAAACATCGGAAGTGAGTTGTGTTATTTTTTTTAGCTGAATTTCCCATAGCAGACTTTTATTTTCGAAAGATTTAATATGGTCGAATAAATTATTAATTAATTGGTTTTGACGTTGCAAGCGTAAATTCAACTCTTTCAAGTACAATGTTATATCCGTGACATAGGCGAAATCATTTTTCTATTCTGAATCATTAAGTTGTTCAATTTTTTTCCCTTTATTTGCAGCAAATTCGAACTATCGGAATAGAAAATATACATGCTTAATTTCAAATGTGATCGCGGGCCGCATATTATGACAGGGTGGGTTGAAGACCCCTGATCATAAAGTTTTAAGTACAAAGTAAAATAAATTTTTATTTAATGGTTGACACTTAACTTTGTGTGTGCTTATGTCAATAAAATATAGGTATTAAGAACGTTTGATGTTTATAAATACTAAATATTGAGAACATTATTAATGTTCAACAATAATAATAATCCTTTTTATAAAAATTAATGTCATAAATCATTAGTATTGAAATAAGTATTTTTTTTATTTTTTATTTTTTAAACGTAATTTCTATTGTACATCAACGTTCAAAGAAGTCCAGACAATTGTTATTGGCTTCGTTATTTTGGTTTTACTTAAACTGTAGTGTGCATTTTTTATTTATGAAATATTGTTTTTTTATGATTTTATTGGTTATATAATTTAAATCATGATTTGACTTTTAATAATTGTATTGTCACCGTAAGTTTTCCAATGTCTTATATAACGAAATTATATTGAATAACTAATTTTTTTACTAACAATAATGATTACTTATCATGATTAATAAAATATCTTAGAATATAAGACATTGTATAATATGACATTCTAGAAGGAATCATTAGATGTCGTCTAAAATTTTGATTTTTTGATAAGTTCTAATGAAACTTGAAATTAATACTTCAAACGTACTCGGTGTCTATTATAATTGAAAGAATATATACTTAAACATAATTATTATACGAGTGTAGGTTGAGTTATTATAAATAATGATATTGGTTATGAGATGAATGGCATAAATTATCATTGTAAAAATAATAACAGTATAATCACTCACTTCGATGGCAATCTCAAAATCTTTCTTGTCAATAGTGCCGCTGCCGTTGACGTCTGAAACACACCAAAAATGATGGTTAATAATCGTCCAATTACATCGGGCAAGTGTTTGACAGTTATACGATAGCTCATAGACGTCATAATGAAAGATGACGGCGAGAAAAGATTTTCATTGTTAGCCATCGTATTTACAAAAGCATCTAATGATATGGGCGCAGCATGCACTGCTTTTTCACATTAAGCGGAAAAAATTTAATTTTATAGTGAAACAATATATATATATTTTTTTTTTCAGAAATCGTTGTTTAAATTAATTTATATAAATGTATGTTTGATGAACCAATACTATTACGTGCATTCGGCGCGAACGTAGTGGATTTTAGGGATTTAAATCACCACAAAATATCAGAAAAAATGTTATAAAAAAATGACCAGACCTATAAATTTAATAATTATTTCAAAGTTGCCCATGAGACTAGCAAATAAAATTAAAAAATATATATTATATAATGAGTAATAAAATATGCTATTTATCAATATTTTATATTTTAAATTTTTTCCTATGTTTGCTTCAGTGTGCAGTTATTTTGAAAAAAGTTCATAAATAAATTGACACGTATACATTTTGTTTATTCTTTGGTTAAGAAATAATTGAAAAAAAAATATCTATGTATAAGAAATCATACTTTGACGATTATTTTAAAATATAATTTATGTAAACTAAATAGCAATAGCACCATGTGTTTTACATTTCTGCAGAAGGTTTGAATCATATTTTCCGTATAAAAAAAAAAAGAAAAATTGTTTTTGAAATTAAAAAATAAATACACAAATATATATTAAATAACAGTTATGGCATTTTTACATAAATTATTTTGATGTTTACAATATAATTTAATCGTAAATATATTGACGACGTGTGTTATATCAAATGGCATTTTAATAAAACAGTATTCACGTACGTAACGATTATCTGAATCTTTGTAGGATAACGTATAATGTATTGATTTAATGAAATAATCATTAAATTGAATAACAGGTTAAAACAAGGAAATGGTATATTCTCAATACATAAATATTTATAGTACAAGTGTACATATATAGTACGCGTACTAAAATATTTGTTAGTAATTATTTTTATTTTTATTTTTATTTATATATTATGGAATGCGCCGATCATTTAGTGCTTATTCATGATGGATAATGGCTACATGTAAATATAAATCTCGTTTTAAATTCTAAACGGAAGTAGCAAATTTATTGATTTTGCAATATTATTTTTTCATTATGTATATAGTTAGAAAATGTATTCCAAAAGTTTCATATAAACCTTTTATAGACCGGAAATTGGATACAGATGGTACTTAGGTTATTTTTGGTATTTCCGGGAAGTTTTCTAAACATTTTTGAAAAACTCCTGGTGATGACATTGACATTACTATTATTTATTTTATCGAAATTCAGAAAGCAGTATTCTCAGAAGTAAGATATTCTTGATGCTGATTTACATATTTTATACACAATAGCTAGTTGGATATAATTATTTTTGGGGTTCTCATAAGACTATAGTTATTATTTATTAGTTTTCATAACATTTACAAATTTTGTATAAAAATCTAAAATTATTTAATTTTAAAAAAATTTAAATTTAATTTAAAAAATTTATTAAACATTTAAAATTTGAATTAGTTTGTAAAAATTTGACTTTAAATTAAATATAAAAATAATATTATATTATTGTACTTTAATTGTTTTACTTTTTTTTCTTTTAGTTTCTTTTTTAGAATTTATAAGTATACTTGACAGTAAGAAATTTACAGAATATGGTTACCATATCTTCGACTATGTATGAAGTATCATTTAAGTTTTTATAAATAATTTTCTCTATAATATTTATTTAGAATATATATTAAGACTTCTGATTAAATACAGGTATAGTATTATATTAAATGTATTTGAAATGAAAAAACTTATTTATTTTAATAAATTAAATTACAAACGTATCATTTTTATTTATATTATATTTCAGTCATATTTCATAATTAAAATTGCATTATACTCATCTTAAATTTTAAATTTCTTTTATATACACTTAAAAAAACCCATAGGTATATTTTTGCAATAACTTTTTTATTATATAACATTACCTAAACTAATTTTAAGTTTAAGATGTGTTCAAATTTGTTATTCTAGTAGTATTTTAATAAGAATTTTTTTTATATCTATATTATAAAGTATGATTCATTCATATTTGTTTACTTATTAAAAAAAAAAATTAAAAAAAATATTATTACATTATAATGGATTATTTTGTGAATTGTTTTGTAAATAATTTCCATTAAAGTATTAATTTTTAGAACTTATTAAATATTTAAACTTCGTTGAATAATATGATTGATCGGACAAAGATAGAAAGTGCTATGTTTGCCAAATCGATATTATTATTGTCTGAGAGTAAATAAAGTGTAAGTATTAAAATTTAATTTAACATGTCCAAAATATATTGTGTCTTATTGTTATTATCGCAAGGTCATGATTTCAAGAGAAAACTGTTATCAGATTTCTTTATTTTCAGAATCATATTTAGTTAAAACTATGGAATGGTTGTAATTGGTCATAATTATTTAAAATTATCATAATTTAACCTTGTGCTATACATAGTGCATATAATATATGTAAATATTTAACCTTTATTACGTTAATGGTTATTTAAAAATGGTAATTATTATTAGTAACGATAAATCTTTTAACTAGGTTCATTAATCACTTCCAATCGGATATCAGAGAATTTGCGTTGACACTTTCTTGCACCGTTTTTTGGCTTATAGTATGACTATACTATGTGTAATGATTCAGAAGGATAAGGATAAGTCAGCGGTTGGTTCGAATATTGGAAAAAGAAATAAACACGTCATGGCAGACATGTTCCAATTACAGCTGACAAAAATAACGTTGAATCGTTCGATGACTGTGGTAACCACTAACTCAACTTTTTCACTATCATCAATGCCTATCATGCACTGAAATACACAGGAGAAATTGTCATACAGTCATACGCTGACCCGAAAATGATTCTTAGGTTTTGGGTAAGGTGGGTTAACTAGACTTTTTCCAAAAAGTTTTTATTTACAAAACCATCATATCATATTGATTAAACTGCAATTTTTACCAACTTCATATTAAAATAATGTTCAATGATTTTCCGAGAAACATTTACTCTGCCCTTTCTTTACACTTTCATATAGTTATTTTTCACGTATTTAGCATCTATTTTGTTGAAAATAGTATATTACTTTAATTTACGAGTATAATAAAAAATACTTTAATAAAATATTTATAAACATTCCGTATTATTTTGAATGAATTATATTTTAAGCCCTTATAATCTTAACCTAAACTCACTGAGTACCCATCAAAATTATAATAATTTAATTTAAACATATTTTAAATATTAAATGTTTTTGATCTCATTTAAATTTGTCGTAAACCAAAAACGGAGTTATGATTCTTGGTTGAAAAATATTTTACTAGTTGACGTTCCCGGAGATGTTAAAAGCAATATTATTTAAATGTTTTTGATATATGTTAATCAATATTTAAATGCTGTAAAAAAAGTTATTGAAATAATTTAACTACCATTGTTATAAATGTATTTGAGTATTACTTAGAATACTTTTAACACAGAAAATTATATGTACCTTATATTAATTAAAACTATCCTCAAAAACCGTATTATCACTGCTATTAGAAAAAATCAGTTAAAATACACTTGAGATACTACTATGTACATTTTGTTTTACTATAACTAATACTAAAGAACTAGAAACTGAGCATAATTTGGAATAAAAGTTTCATTACTTATTCCGGTCGTCTCAAAATATAGTATTACAGATCACTGAGCATTGGAACTCACGTACAAGCATTTGTTGTTGTTTTGTCACGGAAATAGGGATCGTACGTGATTGACCCTACACTGTAGAAGTCCAAACCAGACCGAGTATACTCATACTACGTTCCTCAGTCACCGGGATGAAATTATGGGACCGAATGGTAAGTCTATGAGCATGCTAATTTCTACATCCTATGCCTGTTTCCTGGACATGGGCCAACAGTGGAATAATGTGTTTGGTTTTAGTTTTTGACTCTATTTCTGAGAGCGGAGTCATTTTCATTCCGTAAAAAGCTCACTCACGGTTCAGAAAAGTTAGCATGTTTTACGGTGATAATGTAGGTAAAATTTTTTGTATTTTGCCGATTTCGGACAAGATTCTATATAACTCATTAATCATATTTGTGACATTGCTATTTGAATTTGAAAAATTCGTTTTAACCATTCCGAGTGACCTGGAATCAATATTACCATTGCCAATGGTAATACCTAGATAAGGCTTTACTAAATTGTGAAAATGGTGAAGTCTTTAATTTAGTTTAAAAATATATATTTTGATTAAAAAAAAAAAAAATTTGTTATAGGAACATCGGATTGACTTATGTAATTTAAATTATTTTGAAGCGATAATATACATATATTTAATGTCATAAAAATAATATTTTATAGTTCAGTATGTGATATGCATTATATTTCATTTAAATTTATCTTTTTTTATTTGTTAATAGTTTAAAATAAAATTAATAATATTATCAGATAAAATGTTACCATATAAATAATAATTAAGAGTATTTATTTTTAGAACTATGACACATATGATTCAAATGATAATTGTTGTTAAATTTATTTTAGTTAAATACTATTGGAAACGTAATTATTTAGGGCTGAGCCGTTTTAAACTGCTTTCATATTTTTAGAAATATGGTGAACACGTTTTTTGGTCAGTATTTATATATTGGGTAGCAGTGAATATGATTAATTTCGTTATGTGTTATACTTTGATACTAGTCACACTTTACTATATTCATGTGAATATGTGACTTAAACTTTATCTATCTCAGGGATGGATAACCAATAGCTTTAAGGCTGAATATAACCCTTCGAATTTTTTTTGTTTAGCCTGTAGCCATCAAACCTTGTTTATAATTTAGTGTTTTGCATGCGTGTATAGTTAATTAATATTACTTGACAAGAAAATTGAGATAAAATAAAAAATGTTCTTCGTCGACTTGAACGTTTGACATTTTTAAAGATGTAATTTTATTAATATTGTATTAGACATATGGTATATTGATTTCTTTTTTTTCTGAAATTTCCTTAATATACTATTTAATAATATAGTTATATAGTAATATATTCTTATTTGAAATAATTAACATAACATTTTTAATAACTATTGTACTCGTAATATAAGTAGATTTATTTGAAACATAAATGTAATTACCGTCAACAGAAGGAGTAAATGTAATAATATTTTGCGTTATGTGAGAATCAAATTAAACAGTTAATCATCAAACAGTTAAATATATGGTGTATACAGATGATGATAAAATAAACAGTTGTTTAAATTAGAAGGCTAGTAAAATGTATAAAACTAATGATGGCTAATGAATAATGGAAGTGGAGTGAAATTTCAGAAGAAGATTTGAGTCAGAAGTGAAATAATCTAGGAAAGATAGAAATAAAAAAAAGGTGTAGTCTGCTAGAGAAAGGGAAGTGCAGTTGAAAATTAAATGGTTAAAATTGTAAATTCCTCATATGGTTGAGTACATTGTAGAGAATAATTAAGTGAAAGCATGACAATATATTGGTTTCTTCTACTATGTTGTGCTTTATTCATTATCATTGTTATGTTTTATTGTTACAAGGGACTCAATAAATCAGAATTCTCTTTAAGTCTCACAAATCACAGTACAGTCATTTGAAACCAATGGCATATTAATTCTAGCAGTCTAGGAAAGAATTAATGGTTATTAATGTTGTACTTTCGAGACAAGGTAATAATTTAAATTACTATCATTTCTAATGGTTAGGTTGTTTTACATTTTCGTTATATCATTTGGATTGCTTCATTCATAATGATTGCAAAGTTTATGAATAACAGATATGTTTTTTTGCATATAAAGTTAGAACCTTTTATTTATGAAAAGATGATTAATGGGAATCATAAAATAAATTTAAAAGTTTTTATATTTATTTTTACTGTATTATCTAATGTATTGGTTAGTTTAATAGTAAAGCTTTTTTTAATGAGCCATATAAAAAGTCGTTCTTTATTTTAATATAACATAATTCATTTGTTGGGAAATTACTTCGAAATTTAAATATCTTTAAAAACAAATAATTAGACTCAACACAGTTTAATAATAAAGATAATCGTTACATGAATTTTTTTTTATCTAATTTAAATTTTTTGAAAACCGTAGATCAACTTTCTTTATATTGTTTGATTCATGATTAAAATTATTTAGTTGTGTAGTTGGCACAATAATAATTATATTTATAACCATAAATTAAAATTTATAATAGTATACTTAGTCGAGTTTAATATTTTTTATAACTATAGTGTATAGTTGTCGATTTTAACTTCAGAATTTATTTTTTATGACGAAATATTTATATTTCATATCTGTGACAAGGTGAAGAAATAAAAATTTAAGTGTTAGACTGTTTAAACATGTTTCAATGTTTCACTCATAAAATATTTTCTAATTATGTTTATAAATCAAATATTTATGTATATTATCTTTTTTAAACAATTATCGATCGACGATACATTTAATACCAAATTAGTATTTAAAATTTATATTCAAGTACACTATTTTTTAAATTGCACTTTAATTAAGGAGTGATATAATTAGGACCAGTATTAGAAATTTAGTCACCCGGTGCCAATTTATAAATATATATACATAATCGGAGAGAATTTATATTTGTACAGTACACTATAAGTTAAATTTATTTATACTAAAAATGTTTCAAAGTGGTTTGCAGTAAAATATGCCAGTAATAATTGATATTCTACTTGTATACATTTAAAATTATCAGAGTATTTATTTTATGAACTTTATTAATCATGCATTTTTTTAATACCATTACGTTAATATTAAATGTTGTTTAAAGGTTAGTCTGTAATGTTGGATTAATAAAGAAGCTTAATAGCTTATTTAGGTCCTCTTTATTTTTCAAGTTTTGTGCATAAATCTAAATTTATTTCTGAATAATTGTGGAAAAGTTTAAATAATAATAGTAATAATAATAATAATAACAACAACAACAACAATAATAATAATAATAATAATAATAATAATGTTTGAATTAACTTGTATAGAGTTAAATCTGGATTTAATAAAATTATGTACATTGTACACATTTTTTTATTTATAATATTCCATATTCCATTACATTTTCTTATCGGAAATCAATAGTTTAAAACAGAAATACGCTGGAAATTACATGTCAAACAAATAAATTCACATTTTTTGGACTAGAAATCATCGAGAAAATAGTGACTTAAGTTATGTATTTAATAGTGTTCTATAGATTATTACCTGTATTTTAGAATATGACTAAAAATTAATTATTATAAGACAAAAATTATGATAAGTTAATAAAAATATAAATGATCACAAAATATTTGATTGTCCACCAGATTAAATTATAGTTTATTTCCTATTTATTTTAATTATATGATGTCAAGAAAAATAATTTATATTTTTTGTAAAATCTAATATCGGGCCATTTTTTTTGTCTTAATGATTGCAGTTGAAAACGGTTTTATTTGTGTCAATTTATAAAAGGATTACAAAATTAAAATACCAAGAACAGTGAGCTGGTTTTATTGTTCCCTATACAACTAGGTAAGAACTTTTAAATAACTGAAACTATCTTTTAAATCGCTCTTATTTGTATAATTAACATATTTATCTAAAGTTTCTTCGATAGCATGTGACATCCTTTGAAATTAAGTTTCAATATTTAATTTAACGTTTTGTCAGTATTTATTTTATTTTTTGTCTTGATTGTTAAGAATAAAATATACATTGGGAATAACATTTTAGATTCAAAATATTGTAAATAATTGATTTAATTTTATTTAAATTAAAATGGAAATGTATAATTTACTAATTCTTAATATGATTTTTTAGAATGTATTTGTTTCTTAAATTGAAAATATAATTTTTTTGTTTCTTAAATTGAAAATATAATTTTATTTAAAGTAATGAACATCATTATGACAGATTATACAGAAAGTTTGAAAATTTTATACGCAGTAGAATTTAATTAAGAAACTATGTCCATAAATATATAAATTATTTGCATATAATATTTAATTTAATTTATAGTATTAACAGTTTTATCAATTATTGCAATGTTAAATAATTTTAACGCCAAAAAAAAAAAACTTTCGAAATATTTATGAAATATATTCACCGTGTTTCTTTTTTTTTTTTTTGTGAATAATTTGAAGATCTTAAGATTTAAAATATTTCATATTTATAATGAATTTATTATATCTTCATTAAGTAAAATATTATTTTTAAATTCTGATGTGATAAATAAAACGATAAAGGTAGGTAGATAAATAGATTTATTGTAAGTATTTCTTTAATATAATAGTAATATAAATTGTATTTTTATTTTAAATTTAGATATTTGTAAGGTTTCTTTGAAAATATACGAATTTTTGTTTTTTAGGTCATGTTGTTTTAAAATTTTAAAATAAATATTTTTATGCGGTATTAGATTTAAAATGATGCTGATATTTTTGTAACCTAATAAAAAATTAATAACAAAATCTCTTACCGAAGAAGACGTTGAAGACATACATGAGCTTATTCTTTCTGAACTGTGAAATCGAAGACATAATTGTTTGCTTTTTGGAGTTTTCCCTGATATTCAAATTGTTTATCTAGAAAAGAAGAATATACTAATTACTAAGTGAGAGAACAAAATATTGAAATATATATAAGAAAAACATTTTTAGTATTTGGTATAAAATATTGGACCTGAAAATTGTAAAATGTATTATTTTTAACATATTAAATATAATTGTGTAGTTTTATAAGAGGATTTAGAATTTCTAATGGTATTTAACTGATTGAAAAATTCATTATTAATTTTCATTTTATCTATGTGTCATCAATGTTTACATAATATATATATATATATTTATGGTATAACCAACAATATTATTTTATATAAAACCAATAATTGTTTGGAAATAATTTAATTTTTTAGAAATTATGTAAATAAATAATTTTAGTGAATATTTTATGCATTTGCGATTATTTATAGTGTTTATGTTTAGTATGTATGGTTAATTTATCCAGTACCTATGTTATAATATATATATTATTGTCGTATATCATTAATATTACAAAGCATGATACATGTATTAATCTATTAGAAAATTGAACCATGTAATTATAAATTTTTTTTTACTTTATAGAAATTTTTTTTTTTTAATTTCAGTATATAGTGAAATAAGTTTATAATATGAACGGATTTAAAACTATGTTTATTAAATTTAAATCCACTATTTTTAATTTAAATATACATAAAAGAAAAGTTGGAAATTTAAAACAAAAATTTATTTGAAAATTTTTAAAAACCGATCGAAAAACCCAGAATTCATGATATGATCGTTTTAAGCAAAAAACATTTTAATAAATCTTAAATGTACTTTTAATATTAAAAATAAGATGTACAATAACTTGATATTATATTCTTTTCGAATACTTAAGAAAATTTTTATAACTATAATTATTTGAATATAATATGTAATTGTGGGAATTTTATCTTCAAATTTTAATTCATGGTAGGTGATTTAAAATTGAAAATATTCAAAACATTTAAAAAAAAATATTTGAAAGTAACAATAAATTTGTATAGTCGGTCGTTTTTTTTTTTTGTACATAGATAACGTTTTATAATTTAATATAATCATGATTTACTCGTTATTATTTGTATGATTTATCATACATAATTTTAAATATCTTGATAAAATATAATAATTGCTTAAAGTAGTTCATATTTTTTTTTCTTTTGAGTTGGAGAAAAATAATGTATATATAACATACTGTATAGAATTTGAATGGTATAAATATAATTTATTTATGATTTTCATAAATATACATGTAAATATATGTTTAGAAAATCAAAGAAGCGTGTTATAGTTTAAAAGACGAATTTGATTTATATCGATTGTAACTCATTAAATATGATTCAGTGTAATTTATAATACAATCCGGGGTGAATATGTTTAAATTTAATTTGAGATAAATATGTATGTATGTATATATATTTATACGGCTTTATAAAATTATTAATAAATGTTTTTCAATTTATCATTCGTGAAATCGTAAGATATACTAAAATTATAAATTATTGATGATCCCATGAAATGTATTATCTTCTAAGATATCTATTTTCACTTTTTAAAAAGTAAGTTTAAATTTAATAAAATCATTAAGTCAATATAACATATTTTAAGGTACAATATTTTTATAAATTTGTTAATAGTATGTAAATATCGAGATAAAATATGGAACCAAAAAGAAAAAATAACTATCCTAAAATTAATTGAATTGAAATAATTATAAATAATATTTTCATGTAATTGAAAAATTAGCAATAAATTATTTAAACCCGTTGAGAACATTAACAGTCAGATGGTTTTTGATGGCCCTTGATATAAAAAGTTAATTTTGTAAGTTTCACACCTCACACGTTCAAAAGTTTTTATACTAATGTTAAATTCATTAATAGTACTTTGTCATCCAAAAAACAAAAAGTTTCGAAAATATTATGGGAGACGCAATGTTTCTGAGTTATACATTTTACAACAGTCGCCGGATACGAGAACCTTTCGAATTCCGTCTGGCCTCTCAGGGTATATGTTTGGACATCCGGGTGTTCAAAACTTGTTGGAAACTGAATTTCGACTTTTAAGTTGACAAAAATGTCATCATGTATTTGCGTACGTAATATATAACGAACAAATTAATAAAAAAATAATATGCACCCTTCACACGTTATGATAGATTAATTGTATTGATTCTACTAGGAGTACAAATTTGAAATTCAGCATATCATGGCGTAATAATATTAACATTGATAAGAAACGTAGTGAATTGAAAACGTTGTAATGTGATGAAATATTTAGCAACACGTTGTACTAAAATGTTCAGTAGTTTCTGCTCAAGTTTTGAGGCTGTTATAGAAAGGACAACTTAAAAAGTAGTTTAAGTTATCAGATGCCATTATATTTTTAATGAATAGCAATTACTAGCAGTAATGAAAAACGACAGCATAAAATATCAAGGATTCATAATTAGTACACTTAAAGTAAATATAGAGGTAATATAATATGATGTACATATTTTACGAAAATAATAATTATATTACATATATAATACAGTATATATAAATATGCAAATATTGATGTAATTCTAAAAAGTATTTACAATTTAAAACTAAATACGTAATGGTTAAAACCATTTAGTCAAGCCACTCATATTTTTATTATTATTGTTTCTCAGTGCAAATATAATAAAATAAACATTTTTGACGTTGAATTACTCCTGAAATATTATTTTTATTAATTTATTATAATTTTTTATTTATTTATTTATTTTTTTTGAGAACGTTTTAATAATTTTCATTAAAAAAAATACTGAAGTTGTATTTCATTTGAATACATACTTCAATTGTTAGGTATTAAATTTGAAATGAATTTTCTGTACACATTTATTATAACTTTAAAAGACATAAGATGCAACATCATTATGAGAAATAATATATTATTTTGAAATTAATAAAAATAAGTTTTCTCTAGAAATATGACATATTACATTATAATTTGACTAAAAAAATATACTTTTTATGTTAAAATATATAGATTTATCACGGTCAATAATATCACAATCTTTCATTATTTACTTCTGCAGACACTTTAACCACTTTCCGCCTTATATCTATCATTTTCTTTTAATACGACTTCTAAACAGTAACTGTCCAAACTTTAAAATAGGGTTTATCTATTTTGTCCTGGTCAATTTTTTTACGTGTTTCTCCGTCAAATAATTTATTCCTTTCCATCTCACATCTTTTTTCACTTTATTGGCAACACTAGGTATGTTTTCAATGGATACGGTCTGAATAAATAATGAGTAATCGGGGTGATTTTTTTCACTTTTTCCTGTACCAACGAGCTAGTCACGTAATTCCTTGTTTTTGTTTACATTCAATATCCTCGTTAACCTTTTACCTACAAAGAACGTTTGGTGTATAGAGAATTTTCGGAATTTATTTGCAGTAAAGGGATCAGAAAATAATTGTAAATCGTTCTCTATATAGAAATAACCATTTAATTGTATAGCAAAATATGTTATCTTAGTATAGTAAAAAATATTTTTAAATAGTCCAACAGAATTACATCAAATGTAATAAAAAAATATTATGATAATTTTATGACCAGTAATTTATCCCACAAAAGTATAATTTAGGAAATTTAAGTTATTATAAAAATAAATAAATAAATAAAACTTAACCAGGAGTATTATTATATTTCTAAAGTACGACTGGTTTCAAATTAAAAATATATTTATACACTAGACTAAGCTTTTATTTATTTATTTACTTTTATATTAATTTATAAGTATAAACCATTTAATAATTTTTAATTTTAGTTTTATTTTTTATTGTTTTCATTATGAAATTTACGTATTGATCTGTAAAGTAGAGTGCAGAACATATTATTTTATTCTGATGTATATATGATCTATATGTTTCGGGATATAAATGGTTTGGCGATAACTTACTAACTATGGAGATGACTTTTATTTTGTTCATATAATATACAAGGATTTAGTATAATACACAAAAAATATATTAACTATTCCAATGATTTTCAATGTGCTATAGAACTCATGTCCCATTGGCTAACTATACCCGTATCTTTTCCTCTAGTCAATCTTTATAACATTTTAAAGTCTAAATCCAGTTTCAGTAATTCGAATAATTCAGATTATTATGAATAATTGTGTTATACACTTGATCTTTTCTCCAAGAGTGAACTAAACGACCTCATTAGGGATTCAGATTTTCCGAAAGATGCTTCGGAACTTTTAGCTTCAAGACTTCGAAATTATAATTTATTAGTACCGGGTAATCTTTTTTCATAAATCATGGGGTGTATTCAATATTTTACTCAAAAAAGACCGATAATTTATTGTAAAAATATTTCCAATTTGATTAATAAATTAGGAAATATTGAATACCAGATAATGAAAATGTATGGTGACTGTATGTTAATTCTAGTAAGCTAAGGTTAAAAGGAGTTTTATTATATAATTTATAATTGATTTTCATAATTATTGTTTTAATATTAGTTCTTACTGTAAAATACTTCAAAATGTAAACCTTATATTGCTCACACAACAGGGCTATTACCCGTTTATCATAAATAAATAATTGTAAACCTGTCTTTTATAAACCTGTGTAATAATAATTGTTGGTCTTATTATAAGATATTGGTAAATAGTATTACTATAGTGTTTTTAATTATGGATTTTTTGTAATAATCAATTGTTTATTACAACCATTTACACAGCCAAAAAGTACAATAATATTTAATAAGTAGCAGCTCATAGAGTATTCAAATTCTTAGTAACATTTTAACAATATTAAAAAATAAACTAAATTTATTTACCATATAACAACGTAAACACATTTTATTCTAAAGAAATTCTTATAAGGTGTAGCATAAATATATTTATGTTACAAAATATTTTAACGAATTTTAAACTCCTTTAATTTCATACGTCAAACTAAAAACTCGAGATAATATGTACAAATTAAATAAAGACATGAAATACTTATCTAGGTAACTTTATTTAATCCATATTTTATTAGAATAATATTCCAATAGTTCTATATTTACAATTACATTTTCTGAAGATCAAATAAAATTAAATTAAAATAATTCATATTTGTTTTTATAACGTGATGTAACGGGAAACCTATGAGTATTTTTTCAATCATATAATTGTATTTAGATTACCTAATGTAATATATATTTTTATACATATGTAGTTTTCATACGAACTTAAGTAAAATATTTTTCAAATCGTTTCTTTAAAGTTCTTACTCAGTGACGAAGTGACATATGAAAAGCTCTTTAGATATTAGACATATACGATTCCTGACTGCCTATGTAAAATTGGTGTAAGTATTCAGATTTCTTAAACAGTTACCACGCTCTCCTTTTTTGCGTACTACTCTAATACTTTTTTTGTTACGATTACTTACTCTTGGACTTTATCAGTTCAATACATTTTGGTATGGCTGTTGAGGAAATAAATATTGTTTCGCAAATAATGTTTATATTATTCCGACCAAAGAATGAGTTTTCCCAATCTGATAATACTCTCGAGTTATCATCGACTTTCTTTTCAACATACTTTTACACGAATTAATGTTGATGTGCATCGTTTATAACATGTCCGAGTAAATATTTTCATATAATAAATGTGACCATACTACACACGGTCATGCACGACAGTAAAAACGCAATTATTATTAATGATTATGTTATTCATATTTTCTATCCAATAATTCAATGCAGGCGTGTACACAAAAAATATTTTGGGGTTTTTTTCATAATTATATAATCTATTGTAACGTGGTCGGGGATGACCAGTTAAATATATGATATTCAAGGAAGGTTTTCTAGTCCTTATGAATATATTATACCGTAGTTCGGGAGCATAAGAGGAAAGATCTTGATATTACAAATAAATGTAGATTGATTTAGTTTTAGTTATTATTTAATATACATATATAAATTAGACTTACGGACTATGGAGTTCAGCTACCTCGGACGAACTTGTGGCAGAACTGCCGCGACTTAATGTAATAACATGTAAATTAACGTGATGTCTACTCAGCAATATCCATATTACATGAGTAGACATTAATAATATGTAACAATCGTTACATTACCCCCCTCCTTTTTGAACTTACATCTATACAATTTATTCTAAATTTTTTTTTTTTTCAAATATAAAAACATGAGTAAGTGAACACTGTATGTGTGATTTGTTGATGATGGTCCGATTGTTTTGATATTAAGATGAATGATTATTTCTTAACTTTGCTCGTCGATTTGTTCCACCATATAGTTGTAAAGACGGTATGACCGACTTATGATTTTAAGGATGAGGAGAAAATTACCTCACCGCGAACTCCTGGCTGATGTTCACAGTTAACAACATCAAACTCTGCAGTTTCTCCGTCATCACGTTGATGAAACCATAGACGCATTTGGACCATCGATTGTCTATTTGTTTTTATATTTGTGCTCACTTACCCTTTTTTACAATTTTTGGACATATAGCATAATTTTAATACAAAATTTTTTTAAATGGTTCATTTTTTTTTAAACACACAAAAAAATAGCTTTTACAAATATATCATCCAAACAAAAAAATACCTACAATTTTTTGACATATTATTTCAAATAATATTTTGGATAAATATTCTCTCATTTTTTTTACAATTTTGTCATTTAATATAATGTTTTGATACTTTATAATAGTAAAAATAAATTTAAATATATTCCTTTTAACTATTTAACTATATTTTTAAACACAAAATAATTAGCTTTTACGAATTTATCATCCAAACACAAAAAAAATTCATACAATTTTTTTGACATTATTTTAAACAATATTTGGATAAATATTCTCTCTTTTTTTTTACAATTTTGACATTTAACATAATGTTTTGATACTTTATAATATTACAAAAAAAAAATTTAAATACATTCCTTTTAACTATTTTTTTTTTAACACAAAAAAATAAGCTTTTACGAATTTATCATCCAAACAAAAAAAAAAAAAATACATACAATTTTTTGACATTATTTTAAACAATATTTTGGATTAATATTCTCTCTCTTTTTTTTTTTTTTTGACATAACAAATGAATGAATAACAATGTCATTTTCGAGTTAAAATAGTTTTACCGGTAATCGACATAGTACTATTTCAACTTGATTTAAGATTTAAAAGGTTAAGAAAGATGACAGAGAACTTTGATTTTTTATTTCTAACTTCATTAAATACATTAAGCGACAATGAATTGACTAAATAATCAATGGCATTTTTTCATTTATTCCAGTCTGATATATCATCAGACTTTACTAGACAAATATTATGTATTAGAGATTTACTTGTTCCACAAAAAATCAAATCTATTAAAGAACTTACTTTATATGTCATAAATAACAAATTATGTACAACTTTCTTTGATATCTTAAGTGCTTTTATAATTTATTTAACTTTACCAGTAATAGTAGTATCAGCAGAAGGATCGTTTTCAAAATTAAAACTGATAAAAAACTATTTGCGAAATAGCATGGGACAAGATCGCCTGTCTAATATTGTAGTGTTAAATATAGAAAGAGGGGTTGCTGCAAAAATAAAGTTGGATGATGTGATAGATACATTTGCAAATTGCAAAACAAGAAAAGTCAACTTTTTAAAATAAAATTATCAAAGAAAGTTTAAGTACCAGATATAATATTTATATTTCATAGTGTTTTCAATTAATGTTCATTAAACTAAAAAGTCAAAATTACGTTTATTAATTAAATTATGTATTCATCTTTTATATATTTTGATTGGTATACATTTTAAAAAATATGATATTAATTTAATTTTGATATGTTAAATGTTTTATGTTTATGAAATATAAAGTATCATACCTAAATCTTTAATTTTTTTTTAATATTTTTACACATTTAAAAGTTATGAAATCGTTAATTCCTATGTATTATACTAAAATAGTAATAACTAAATTATTTATATAAATGTATTTGAACTATAGGCAAAGATAATAGGCATTTAATAAATATACTATACTTAAATTTATATATTAATATGCATGTACATTTTATTTGCACATCTGAATTGTATTAGATTATATATGTACTTATATCTTACTTTATATCAACTGTCAAGAGTTGATTTTATCTACAATTATTATTTTTTCTCCAAATTATGTAGAGGTTTTTGTATAAGATTTTTACTAAGAGCTCTAGAAATATTAACACTGATTTTAACTTATACATTTATAATATTTAAAAAAAAAGTAAGCTTATGAAATTATTTTGAATTTTATGAAATTATTCACGATACAATGGTTTCGATAACCTCATGGGAGGGGGAATGGTATACCTTGGATTTTCAAGAATATTTACATTTTTGGGTAGGGGCCCCGTTTTAAATTTGACTTTAAGGCCCCCAAGTGTCTAGTTGCGCCGCTGTAACTATACAAGAAAATTTGTGCAGTTGTAATTACGGTTAATATCAAACATTTATCCAAATATTGCTCATATTCGTGATAAGCCTATGGAATGGTTGTGTAAACGTGCTTGTTGCGTGCCGTCGTTCAATCGTAACGTTGGTTAAGTTTTTTTAGGATAATATTCCAAATAAAATACTCAAATATAATTTAACTATTTATTTAAGAATTTTTCTAAGTACAAAAACAATAATTAAGAAATGATCTGGCGTGAAGGTGCTTGCGACTACTCGTGTAAACCACATCTGAATATTGGTCTGTTCCCAACCCCCTTATATACTTAGGTTTGGTGAGGATCAAACGTGCCGCGCTGGGCGATAGTTGTTTTCAACTATCTTAAATAATTTGTCACTAGTCCATTATTTATCACCTAGATGACCTCGCTAATATTGCCATTCGCACATCTTCCATATTTGTCGCGAGTTTTTCCCAATTACATTTCTAAATGTAACCATGCGATTCACATATAATATATGTACTTATTTACCTTCTGATTTTTAACTAAAATTCCTTTCTATTCATACGAATGCAAATATTATGTTAATAATAATCATTTCCTTGATCTCTACTATTTATGATCTACGTGGTCCCATCCATGTCGTATGAGTCGTAAGGACCTACATTTATGTATGTCCGCAACAGTGCTATACTCACTCCAAAAAATTACCAACTGGTGGGTATCAATGATACACTGCTGATGTCTTTTAAAGGGGAAGAAAAATGTATATACTTCGATAGATACGATGGTCAACATAGATGATGCAACTAGTTATCCGGTTGAGTTTTTAAATGTATTGAAATCACCGTGTATGCCATATCATAGGCTTATTCTGCGTGTGGGCAGAAATTTAAAACTACCTAAACTGTGCTATGGTACCAGGCTTAAAGTCAAAGCTTTACATCGCAGTATAGTGGAAGCCACAATTTTAACTGGATGTGCAAAAGGAGAAACTGTGCTTTTACCGCGAATCCCTATAATTTTGAACGATCTTTCGTAGGAATTTAAACGATTACAGTTTCCCCTCAAAGTTTGCTTCGCAATGACTATAAATAAGTCTCAAGACTAGACTCAAATTTGCAGAAATAGACTTGCGAGAAAACTAGTTTTTACGTAGCTTACTCACGCGTAAACTCACCCAGTAGCTTGGTGATTTTGTCACCTACTAATAGATCAGCGAAGAATATTGTCTAAAAGTTTTTTAGATAAAATTTTGAAAAACTATTAATAAAACATTTATTTTAAACCTTCACTACTAAAACTTCTCGTAAAGAAAGCTACGGCCGCTAAAAGCTATAACATATAATATAGGTTATGACAGTGCTTCCCAAACTTTATCAACTCACGACGCCCTTTTTAATCTAAGGTTTTTTCAGGGCGTCCTTCTCCAAGTCATAGCATGAATAATTATAAGGAAAATTTTAGACCCGATAGTATTTCATGACATCGCGGCGCACACTTTGAAAACCGATGGGTTATGGTAATAATTATTATCTTAAAAATAAATTAATATATATAAAATTATTCCAACAATCTTAATTAATTTTAATTTCAATAGATTAAACAAAATTTAATCTTGCTATGTTACATAGATTTTTATACTTAAACCCGGCAACGACGGGTAATTCATCTAGTAACTAATATACATGTGTATTTAAAAAATTATATTTTTATCTTTCTGTAAATACAAATTAGTGCCTGCCCCATTTAATATTTCTAAATCCACCTCTGCTACTATGAATATCTTTATTGGAATAGGTAGCTTTGACAACTAAGAGCATCGTTGAAAATGGAATACTATATTGAAAATTCTTTACAAGCAACGTGTAACATTATGTTTTATCAAATATCAATAAATACACTCCATAACCACTAATAATTTTTATGACTAGTAAAAAAAAAATTAAAAAAATTATTCTAACTACTTAAAACTAATTTCAGTTGTCAGCTATGCATAATATAAACAACTTAACACTAAGTATACACAGATAATATTAGAACGTAAACGAATGTATTAAAAGTATACCACACCTAGAATTACAAAATCAAATTAGAAAAAATGACAATATATGAGTATTAAATCGTATTAATACTGTTCATATATTATAATTGTATTTACCTATCTTACCTTATCAAACTATTACGTTATAGAGCAGTCTATTTGTTTCACTGTATATATTAAAATTAGTACTTCAACAGAAAACATATCTATAGTTTTTTTTTGATTTACAATATTCCATATTTAAAAAAGAAAAATGTAAAATACCAATTCAAAGTATCAATAATAAATAAATTATGTAAATTCTACTCAGTTATCATTAATATAGTTCTGAAAGTATGCTAAATATTTTAAAATTATAAAATAACAAGAATATAATACATATTATGTTTAAATATAACATATTATGCTTATTTTTATTTTTTAAAGTTTAAAATATTATACAATGAATAGGTTTATATAAATAATAAATAATAATAAACTGACACGGTCCGTAGTGGTCGTGGGTACAATAGTACTAATGTTTGCATTAGAAATATAATACGTGTTTATTTTGTGATTAACAGCAAACTTTGTCAATAAAATAGATGATCTTTATTAATTTTTACTTTAGTTCTTTTTTTTATGAATATACATATTTGAATTAAAATTAACAAATAACGATTTATCATCAGTTAACTTTATAAATGAAAATAATTTTAGAGCCTACATAAATATTTTGAATAGACGTTTTGTGAATAAAAAAAAAACCTTTTTATATAAACTTTGGTAATCTTTCCATAGTCTTATGATGTTTCGAAGAATATTAAAAATGCAGTCAACCGGTTTTATCAACTATAATTTCTTACGTACATACGTGTGTGCATAATACATGCAGATGCGGTTAACTTTATAGGCCTCACATGGATGATACCAACAGCTATTAACTAACCTTGAACTCGATGACGACTGGCCACTATAACCGGTGTCAGACATTTGCTAGAAGAAACACATAGTCAAATATATCGTAAAGAATAAGTGAGATACGAAGCTCATACAGATTTTCATTAATATACAATATTTATGACGATAACAATCACAGTTAATTTTCATAAAATCTCCACATGACATCTTATATTTCTATGAAAATGCTTTCCAATAAAATTCAATCAAAAAGAAAAAGAAGTGTGAAAAACCGTATAACGAAAAAAAAATATTGAAATATGTTATTCTATTGATGCGTAAATATCTAATGCACTAACAAAATTATAAAATTATTATAAAAAATGGAAAAAATTGTATAATATAATATCTTTATAATCAATTTATTTGAATATGTATATTAAATCATATCATTATATAAATTAAATAAGACATACGCGTTGCGACATAGATGATACACCAAAAGTATAACACTTATTGTTTAAAAACCGTTTTCACATGATCTTTTCTGTATTATATATGAACACGGATAGGTACTAAAACCAATACGTGTTTTAGTAATTTTACGGTTAATTTATCGAAAAAACGCCACTGAATAAGTACGAATAATTTTTTGTTTTCAAGTTACATAATACCTACGATAATTTATACTAACATTAAACAATGCAGCGTGTGCTATTAGAATTACGATACGTAATTTTATTACTCTGCGGGTGCTATTTTGTCGAGATAAAAATTGATCCCATAAGTTGTAACAGCACCCATGTACTTTCAATGCTTAGCTCAATAAATAACTAACTTTATATTGCCATCAATAGTTAGTTGGCTGATGTACAAAAGAGAAAATTATCTTTTGTACACATTGTATATTCGTACAGACGTTAACGCTCACCAAAAGTTGACTAATTATTACCGTTCGTGTCTGTTAATATCAAATAGTTAGTGACATTTTAACCTTAGATTAATGACTATAATTCAATGATTTCTGATTTGTTTTAATTGTAATAGCACGTTGTATAATTATATACTGGAATTAGCGAATAATCAGACAACTATAGGAAAAGTGTGTAATTATTTTAAACATTACGTAAATTAAAAGCATAATTATAACAAAACACTAGGTTTATTTGGAATCTTATTATATACACACTTTTGAAGCATAAAGCTACTATGGTGTTCAATATAATTATATTATAAATAAATACAGTGGTAATATCAATCAATTGGCTTATTGATGTTATGCCACTTGAAGGACTTATTCCGGCCGATTTAAATATGTATGACGATGAGAATATTATAAAAGCTGCTAAAATATATGCCCAAGATCTCCATGATGATACCTCATCTACAATCAGAGCTGAGCTGTTCATACAAAGGCAACAATGGAGTCAAAATACTATTCCATAACCGAATTCTGCTCTTGATTCACTCTCTTATTGCACCAATCTTCAACCTAACATTAAAATACTTTTACAATTATTCGCCACGTTACCAGTTACCTCTTCCACTTCGGAAAGAACATTTTTTTGCACTTAATCACTTTAAAAATTATTTAAGAAGCACCATGTCGGAAAACAGACTGAATGGGTTAGCTATGGCTAATATAAAATAAAAAAGAGCAATTCGATGAAAATGAAATAATAACTGAATTTGCCAGAAATTCACCTAAGAGAATGCAGCTGTCAGAGTGGATCAAGTGACTTAACACTAAAACCAAAATTATTATTATTATTATAAATTATATATCAATAAATATTTTTAAAACTATACTAAAATGCTTGAATTACATTTAAAAACTTGGTGGAAGATGGTGGTAGGGGGGGTTAAGGGTAAATTCTTATATCCTCTTTTAACTTACCTATCGAAAAAAAGTGATTAGCTCCTCCCATTTAAAAATCCTAGCTACGCCACTGATTGATAGATAGCCATTGTTATTGTGTCGTTGGAGGCAGTTATCAATACTACTGACAATATTCCATCAATATAGTTTCTAAATTTATTACAATAATAAATGCATGTCTTTGAATAAAACAGTTGAATCGTATGTTAAAATAACTTTTTCCGATAGAAACGAGGAACGAAATTTTATTTTAGAATACCTTGAAGTTTACAGAGATCATCCTGCATTATGCTAAGTAAATGTGATGAATACATGGATAGAACAAAAAAAAATTATGCCTATGATGTTTTATTGAAAAATACCAATATAATTTTCCGACGGCTACATAAAACGATGTTAAAAAGAAATTTAATTTTTTTTTTTTTTTATGTAGCACAGGGATCGGCAACTGGCGGATCGCGGTCCAGATCCGGACCGCGGAAGGCAAAACTATGGACCAGGGGTCTCCAACCTACGGCCCGCGGGCCGAATCCGGCCCGCCAAGGTTTTTACACCGGCCCGCCTAGCTAATTAATGTTTTAAAAATAATATATAAAAAAACATTAATATTAATATTAATTTTCATTAGTTTAATTTATTTTTTATTGAATTAATTAATAAAATAAAATAAATTTATTATTTTTTTTCTTTTGGTATTATTCATAACAATTTATGTTTGTAAATATATACTAACACGAATAATAGAAAAACTCGTCAATCACACTTATCTGCCTAATATTGTACTCAAAACTTACGCGATTGTCAGATAAGATATGATCGACTTTTTCCGTTGTAATAATAATGCTATCGAACGTGTGATCGACGGGTTTTTTCTAACTGCGTGAGTCCACTGTAGTATATCGGGTATAATTTATAAATTATGTAGAATCAGTTTTTATGATTATTGTAGTTAAGTGTCATTTATTATCGAGTGTAGTGCTCTGTGCTGTATTAAAATAAATATGAGTTTAAGTAAAAAACGGAAAGTCGATACAGAGTGCCGTGTTTTTAACAAAAAGTGGAATAATGACTATTTCTTCATTGAACAAAATAATGTTGCTCTATGCGTTATTTGCAAGGAAAAGGTTGCTGTTTTGAAAGAATATAATATTGGTAGACATTATAAAAGCAAACACGCATCTACATATAACAACCTATCTGGTTAACTACGATCGGACAAATTTGAAATCTTAAAACAGAATTTACTAGCTCAACAGTCAATTTTTATTAAACGGTCATGTCAAAATGAATCTCTCGTAAAAGCAAGTTTTCAAGTAGCCCGTACTCTGGCGATAGCCGGAAAACCGTTTACTGATGGCCAAATTGTAAAGGAGTGCATTTTGAAAACAGTTGAAGAGATTTGTCCCGATAAAATCAATTTATTCACCGGTATTAGCTTGTCAGCGAATACAATTGCGCGACGTACCACAGATCTCGGAAATTATATTATTCGTCAATTAAAAGATATTGCTAAAAGCTTTAAATATTTTTCAATTGCTTTGGATGAATCTACCGACACTTCAGACTCAGCGCAGGTGCTTTTATTCGTTCGCGAAGTCAATGAATCTTTTGAAATAACCGAAGAATTGGCCGCCGTCCACTCAATGAAAGACTCATGTACTGGTAATGAAATTTTTTTGAAGGTAAAAGAATCTATTTTTACTTTGGGTCTTGAATTTAGCATTTTAAAAGGCGTAACTACTGATGGTGAACGCAACATATGTGGAGCACATACAGGTTTGGTTGGAAATATTTGTAAAACTGTATTGGAGACTGGTGCAGCAGCACCAATGGCTATTCACTGCATAATACACCAGCAAGCTTTGTGTGGGAAAAATGCACCAATAAATGAAGTTATGAATATTGTTGTGCAGAATGTAAATTATATTCGAAAAAGTGCTCTCAGTCACCGTCAGTTTAAGAACTTTCTTGCTGAAATTGAAAGCGAGTACCCAGTATTCCTTATCATTGCGAAGTTCGTTGGTTCAGCCGAGGTCACATCTTGAAAACATTTTTTTATCTTCGTTCAGAAATCGACACATTTATGACAGAAAAAAAACCGTGTTATAACTGAGTTAATTGATTTAACATGGCTATGGAAATTAGCTTTTCTCGTCGATATAACTCAGCTCCTTAATGAGTTTAAAGTTGCATTTAAAGTTGCAAGGAGCTAACTCGTTGATTTCAGATACATATTCCTACATTAGATCTTTCAAATTAAAACTAAATCTATTCACAAATCAATTAATAGAAAAAAATCTTGCCCATTTTCCAACATGCAACAAATTCAAACTTGAAAATTATAAAGAATTCCCTACCGATTTTGCTGTTGGAGTTCTCACCTATTTAAAAGAGCAGTTCCAGACCCGATTTAGAGATTTCAAAAGTGCAGAAGACCGTATTCGAATTTTTGAAAATCCATTTGCATTAAAAATAGAAACTTTACCGACAGAGTTTCAGCTTGAAGTTATCGAGCTCATATCAAACAACAATTTCAAAGACTATTTCAAGGAAGCTAGTCTCCAACAATTTTACGCCATGTTGCCAGAGGAATCATTTCCAAATCTCAAAAAACATGCGCGTGAAATGATATCAATATTTAGCTCAACATACTTATGTGAGCAGACATTTTCAAAAATGAAATATGTCAAATCTAAGTACAGAACTAACTTAAGTGACGAACATTTACAAGCGACGCTGCTAATTGGAACCACAAAGTTTGATGCAAACTTTCAAGACATTTTAAAAGACAAGCAATTCTAAACGTCTCACTAAATAACTTACTCTTATCATAATAAAACGAAATTTTGAATTATAAAATAAAAAAATTATATAAATAAACATACATTTTTTAAATAAATCTTATTTATTATTATTTATTGCTCAATTTTATAACCTATCTATTTTTCTAAAAATGTTGGCCCGCGATGCCAAAGCGTATATCAAATTTGGCCCGCGGTAAAAAAAGGTTGAAGACCCCTGCTATGGACCCTGTCAACACATTGTACTTCATTATGTTATTTTCTGTAATAGTATTATTATTAATACAGACATTTATTTTATTTAATTTATCAAACTCAGATTATAGTTATATCATAATTCATTGAAAAATATTTTATCGGGCAGGTAATAATCGGTTTTATTACAATGTTATCGGCCGACGGCCGAGTCGCGACAATACCAAATATTTCGATTTTCTAAGAACTCCGAAGAACCGACGGCGTAAAATTATATTTATTGCTTATCGCTAACTAAATCGTTAACTCTTTAGTTTTAGTACGTGTACATTCGCCGGCGGATACAGTGTGTGTTTCGTTTTATATTATTCGTTCAATATGTTGAGTAAAAAACGCAAAATCGACAGCGAAAATAGGAAGTTTATGAACGAGTGGACTGAATTATATTTTTTTATATTGCCTGAAAGGGTTAGAGCCATTCCAGTCTGTTTAATTTGCAATTCAACTGTCGCTATTATTAAAATTGGAAATTTAAAACGGCATTATGGAACTACTTATAAAGATTTTCATACAAAATTTCCTCCAGACAGTGAAGTGCGTAAAAATAAGGTCCATGCATGTATGTTATCTTACAAAAATAGTACGACTACACTTATACGGTGTATGAGTGAACAAGAGAAATCAACTGAAGCAGCGTTGCGTATGTGCTGGGTTCTTAATAAGCACCAAAAACCGTTTTCCGATTACGAAATAGTAAAAGAGTGTATGTTGGAAGTGGCTACTGCACTTTTTCAAGAAAATAAAAAAAAATCGTTACCTCTATCCAAGATATTCCTTTGTCGGCAAGGAGTAACACAAGAAGGACAGAAATGTTGGCAGCCGAAAACAAAAAAAGCTTATTTGAACTTTTACATAAGTCACCGTGCTACTGCATTGCGCTTGATGGATCTTGTGACTTAGTTGATTCTGAACAAATGTCAATTTTCGTGCGATTCTTTGACATTGAAAATAAAGTGTTTAGAGAAGAGTTACTAGCAATATTGACATTTGAAGGCAAGACTCGTGGAGAAGATTTATTTAAGAGTTTTGATGACTTCATGAAAAAATCGGATTTGAGTTATGATAAAATTGTGTCAATTTCCACTGATGGAGCTCCAGCGATGATGGGAAAAGAAAAAGGATTATTAAAAAGAATCCGTGATAATAATTCCGGGATATTAACTTATCAATGCATAATTCACCAAACATTGCTTTGTAGTAAACTCAGTGCTACACTGAAAGACGTTATGGACGGTTTGATCAAGTTAATCAATTTTATCAGGTTGCGTTCTTCTCTTCAACACAAACAGTTCAAAGAGTTTCTGTGTCAATTTGATTCGACTTATTCAGATTTACTACAACACAATCATGTTCATTGGCTCAGTAAAGGTCGAGTAGTTGAACGTTTTTGGAACATTAAAGAAGAAGTAAAAACATTCCTAAAAAATGTAGGTACTGAAGAAGCAAAGAAGCATTCGGATTTCTTAGAAAACAATCGAAACATAGTTACAATGACTTTCTTAAATGTCATTTTGAAGTATTTAAATACGCTTAATGTCGAATTACAAGGAGAAGGGAAATTAATATGTGATTTTAATACAAAGTGTGTCTGCTTTCCGTCGCAAACTAAATATATTTAAAGGCGACATTGAACAAAAAAAATTCATTCACTTTCCCACAATATTTGAATGCAAAAATTATTCTGAAATTATAAACATCGAAACATTTTTAAGTTTTTTGTCAGATCTTATGAAGGAATTCGATGCTAGATTCAAAGACTTTTCTGAAATAGGAAAACTATCACAATTCTTAAAAACCCCTTACGATGTTCTCCCAGACGGAGAATGGACTGATGTAGCTAAAAAATTATTTAATCTTTCAAAGTCAAAACTCCAAATGGAAATAATAGACCTACAGGAAGATGTTTCCTTGAAGCAGTACAGAAGTGCGTCAACTGAAGAATTCTGGGCTAAAGATGCCATTGACAAGTATTCAAACTGTAAGCAACTGGCAATCAACTTGGCTACGATGTTTGGTTCGACATACATTTGTGAGGCATCGTTTTCAAAAATTAATTTTTTGAAAAACAAATATCGGACAAAATTAACAGACTCTCACCTTGAGGACACATTGCACATAAGCTGTTCTCCACGAGTTTCCGATTTCAAAAAGCTGGCTAAGGAAAAGAAATGCAATTTTTAGCATTAAATAATTTACTGTAATAAATATATTTTTTTCATACTTTTAATATTGTAGTTTTTAATATAAATTAATTGTAATAACTGAATAATTATTTTTATTTTTATACTGCTATTTTTAAAATATAAAGATTTGAAAAAAAAAATGTTTCACTGGACCTCATTGATTTATTATTTTAATCTTTAGGACTCCAATAGAAATTACTTGTCGACCCCTGATGTAGCATGACAAGAGCAATTACAACGTTCTCTTCGCTAGACATTTTAAACGAAAATTAATATATTGATGGATATTATTGACCGTATAAGGGTCGTTGAAAATACACGCTTATCGTTACTTAAATATTATTAAGATGTTTATTTATTATTTACTTTCCATCAAAAATGAAATATACTTAAAAAACATAAAACATTGCACCTGTTATTGTATTATATGTTTTGGTATTATAAAATACTCTTTTAAGTAAAGAAATCATTTACAGTTATATTTACAATATTTCATAGGATTTTGTCGTTAAAATAATATATATATATATATTATAAATAAATTCTTCTTCGAAAAACTTTTCGCTCTCCTTGTCCGATAAGAAACTATCTTGTGATAGTCAAAATATTCAGGAACTTAACATATATAATTTAAACATTAAATATACATATATTAAATTGAGATACCGTAATATGGACAACGATGATGAGATTATATATATTGAAACACATAGGCATTTATCGATATTTACTTAACCTACATATTATATGGATTAAGTTTGCCAAAAATTGTAGTTACAAGGTAAAATTATTCATTCTTTATTTATTCGACATGACAGTTACAATTGTGTGTGTGTAACATAAAATATGTAAATGACAACTTGAGTAATATTAGTTTTTAATAAAATAAAAAGAGTAACAACACTTGAATCAATAAAATAATAATTTTAATTAAAGTTTAAATTATTATAAAGTAGTATAATTGTATTTATATGTTTATATATTGTCTTAGCACTGAAAGTTATAAGCAAACAAAAAATTAAATTAAATAACACTTCCAGTAAATAAAATATAAACAAAAAAATCAAATGTTCAAATAGTACATATGAAATAAAAATATATATAAAACGAGCAAATCATTCGGCTTTTAAAGTTCTTTATTTATTTTATTTATTTCTTTATTTTTAAAGTGCCGTTACGGCGAAACACCGATTTTGTTCATTATGTACAAAAATAAAAATAAAACTGGTATGTGTGTTGGTTTGAAAGATATATTTTTGAAAAATTCTAATACATGTTTACAGTCATTACAGGGCATGTATTATTTTATACTCGTCGAAATAAATTTATCCAGAATAATTAACACTACGCGGTTGAATGATGACTCAAGTTAATAGTTGAACACGAGTGAGTATGCAGGTGTGTGCGTGTGCAGGTCATGCCGTTGGTGGGAGGAGGGATATATCCCCCCCCATGAGATCAGCCGCCACTCAAAAAAATATGATAGCTAACTTGAGTAAATTTAAAATGCCTACAATGACATGTTATTGTAGTTTTTAATTTTTATAATTATAATTGAGTTAGGTATCTGAACAAAAGCTTGTTTTTTTTTCATCAATTTCGGTACTTATTATGATTATGGTTAGTATTTAAAATTTATAGACAATAATTTGATGTATAAATAAAACTGTTTATCTTATACACAAATTAACACAATATAAATAACATGTTTATCAACATTGTAATTTAATAATGTACAGTCCTTTTTCTTCTAAATTGATATTTTGATAACATCCCCCCCATCTAAAATTTCTGGGCACGCTACTGTACGTGTGCGTGCGCGCGTGTATATGTGTTTGTTTTTGTGTATTCTATACATAGTAATATTTTTCACCGTACTGTATTACACGAATGTACGTATACATAAATAATAATACTAATGTCAATAATGCACACACTTCACTCAGCAGCAATACCGTGTAATATGTACGTTAAGGTTTTTTGCAAAGACTAGAAGGTGAAACTGTCTCCCATTCGGGATTTCATGTATACATCAATCACGCATGTATTAAAATTATATAAATGGAAGAAATCGTGGTTTATAGTGCCCCGGTGATTTATTTATTTTTCAATTAATTTAAAATAAAATTTAAATAAATTTAAATTTAAAAATGTTCGGTCCTGCATGTGTACTGACACATGAAAACACAGAAAACGTATTTATTTACTCAGATTTCAATTTTATTAAAAAAAAAAAAAAATAACCAAAAATCTTATTTAAATGCTTTAGTTTAGCCAAAAATGGTTCATAATAATTATTATTTTACACTAGCTTCAAATAACTTTAAAGGAATCCAGTTTGTTTTATTTTTCACAACAATGTCAAAATAATCGATCTTAAAACGCTACAATGATAAAAATAAAATAAATCGATCAAGTTTTTAGGAAACGGAAGTTTTTTATAGGTTCCTTAATAGGTTTGACTGCAACAGATGAACAACTAATCAAATATACTTATCACTATTTCAATAATTTCGATTCATATTTATATATATTTTTGTATTTTTAGTTCAGATATTTAATACATAAATAAATATTAAAATATTTAGATTATAGGTATACAGTGCTGTAGTGTTGATTATTTTCGGAACGAAGCTTCTAATTTTATTGGTTTAAATGTATAATTTTTCCGATTAATATAATTATTTTTCTTAATTAGTAAAAAAAACAAATAATACTTATACTTTATTCACACAAGATACTATTGTACAATATCAACATATATTCGGATTTTATGTTGTGAAATAAGTTAATAAATAATTTACACTTTGATTATAAAAATATATCAAACCTTTCGGTTGGTGGAGGGGAAAAACCAAAGCTCCGCTGAACCCCCATAGCTGTGATCATTGGCGTGAGCACAAATGGTGCAGACTGTGAAATATTGTAAATAAGGCCCTAAAATTTAAGTCTAAGAGTAAGGGGCCCGTATTTTAACTGATATTACTCAAATCAAATGAAATTTGTTCTTTAGGTAAGATATTTGGTAAAAATAAAATTATGTTTCGCCATAGAAAAAATTTAACTAAATTTTCTAAATGTTCGTACAAAAACTTATTATGGTAATATCACAGCTACAAATAACTACAAAAGTACAAATCATAATTAAATAAAGCTATCTAAGAAAAATATTCGAGATTCAAGGAAAATATATTCATTAAGACTAATATACCACAATATTAAATTAAAAATGTAAGTTATGTTTATTTAATAATTTAAACATTTTAATTTATTAAATATACTTACAGGTTTTATTAAGACAGGGCCCGAATGTATTGTAGGCAACCCTTGAAATACAGGTCTGCGCATGTCTATAGATATGACACAGTAGGTGTGTATACATTTAGGTATTACATATAGTATTTAGGCATTACATACAATGCCACGAATTTATAACTTATAACACAATACTGTAAAGAGAAAACGTAATTAATTATTTGTTGTCTTTAATTCTATCTTCTATTCATTAATTTTATCATTACTATTAATAAAACTTATAGAATTGTTATTGTTTTACACATAATATATATATATATATATATATATATAAATTTTGTTTTTTCTTATTATTTTACTAAGATATTTAAATGTAATTTATGATTTATAATTAAATTATTCAGCCGTGTTTCACTAACGAACAGTAACTAAATATTATCAACTTCGAACTTTCGAACCAAAAGTATTGACAGTTGAGATGTTCAAATAACGTTATGATTGAGTCATAAATTTTAAACATTTTAAGATAATACCTGGTAATTTGAAATATACGTATTAGTCAAATAATGTGTTGATACATGCAGTATAATATACGCATTGAATTATTACATTTTCAAACCAGCTGAAGAATAATAACACTCTTTCACGATGCATTGGCAATAACGTCAAAGAGATGGGGTGAAAAAGATTTTCATTCGAAACTGTTATTATGTCTACACAAAATAATACTCTTTGTGGAAATACGTTGACACTGGGGCCACAGCGTTGAAGAGAAACGTGAAAAATAGAAAACTTTCGACTTACCATCGTCTGAAAAACGCAAAGCCTGTTGTCTTCATTAATTTCCAGTTCAGCGCATGACGGCGCCAAAGACCACACTTTTTGCCAACAGTTTTCTAACGGTTCGGCCGAATGCGTGCAGTGCAGGATAGTGGACGTCACGAACACTGCTGCTACGAGGAAAGCCAACGACGACGTCATTTCGCTACACGTCAACGGAAATGGGGAAAAAAAGACGACGACGACGGCGATAAAAATAATAATAGCAATTATTAGTTGATAAATCGATACGGAAGGCGAACGGCAAAAAATAAAATTTAAAACGCTAAAGAAAACTAAATAAAAATCGAAAACCTATAGAAAAATAGGTTTTCTCGGCGAAACTATAATAGCAACATATAATAACACGTAATCGATATTTTTAAAACTAAACGCTATTATTTCGTAGTGACAATAATATTATATTATGTGAACGAAAAATGAAGATATGTTGCGATGTAAAAAATAATTTCGTTCCGAACCGGTCTGTAATCTGTGCACAGTCTGCTTCCCGGATGACTGGTCATAACGAACTGAATGCGTTTGCTGCACGCGCGCGCGTGTGTGTGAACGATGGTAGTTATGTCTATGGCAGCGGAAGAGTGAAGTGAAGAGAACCGATAGTTCCAAAGTACTGGTAATAATGTTAAGAAATCGCGCGGGTATATCGCATGGTATAATAGTAGAACACACGAATATTTTGACTCCACATGATCATAATTTTATTTTTTGATAATTAATATTAATAATTTTTTACCATTATCATCAACGTTGCGTCCAGAATGGCGCCAAAGACGACGATATAGATTAAAAGAAAGTGAGAGGGGGTTCCCGTGACATTCTAATTAAGTAAAGCTGGGTTCACATTACACCGTGCTGTGTCGTGCCTTCTAAAATAATTATCTCTGATTGGTTGAACCATTT